TGCTCACCGGAGCAAGAGAGTTTGAGCATATTACACCGATCCTGGTACAACTGCACTGGCTGCCAATTAGTTTCCTGCCCAATTCAAAGTGCTGGTTTTGACCTATAAAGCCTTAAATGGTTCAGGACCACAATACCTCAAGGGCTGCCTTTTCCCATATTAATCTACCCGAACCCTGAGATCATCTTCTGAGGCCCTTCTTTGTGTGCTTCCTCAAGATGTCAGGAGGGTGGCAACACGAGAACAGGCCTTCTCTGCAGTGGCTCCCTGTCTGTGGAATGCTCTCCCCAGGGAAGTTGGCCTGGCGCCTTCATTATCCACCTTTAGGCACCAGGCAAAAACATTCCTTTTTAACCAGGCCTTTGCCTGACCTGATCTACATCAAATACCCTTTTTAAAATGCTGGCTCTTTGGGGGTTTTTTTAATTGGGCTGTTGTTTGTATTTTGATTTTATGTATGTGATCCTTTATGTGAACCACCCTGAGACATTCGGGTATAGGGCGGTATAGAAATAATAATAATAATAATAATAATAATAATAAGTCTACTCAGAAGTACATCCCATTAAATTCAGTGGGACATGCTCCCAGGTAAGGCTGCAATCCTAACCCCAGTTACCTGGGCATAAGCCCCATTGAGTTAAATGGAACTTCTATGTATACGTAGTTAGGATTGCAGCCTATGTGGGTATAGGATTGCAGTCTTTTAAGGCTCTTTGCCTCTTATAATTTAGAGCCATATTTGCGACAGGTGTGTGTATTATTCTACCCCAAAAGTGCTATTACATATCCTTTCAATTGCTTATTTTTAATTCCTTTTGAGTACTCCCAGGCTGCTATCATGCCATCCTTTATTTCTATAATGTAACTTGATCTGGCACTTCAAAGTCTTTTCACAAAGTTGCTCTTATTTGACATCCTGCCGTTTCATTCTTGCTTCCCAGAATCTGATGTCCAGCTCTAGTAGTGTTACTTATATCCCAGAGCCCAAGATTTCATTGGTTGTTTTTATCAACTTTTGTTGTTGTTGTTTGTTTTTTGTCCTGCTGCGGAGACTAGGACCCGAACCAATCGATCCAAGTTACAAGAAAGGAGATTCCTACTAAACATCAGGAAGAACTTTCTGACAGTAAGAGCTGTTTGATACTGGAACAGACTCCCTTGACAGGTGGTGGACTCTCCTTCCTTGGAGGTTTAGAGGTTGGATGGTCATCTTTCATAGATGATCAAGTTGAGATTCCTGAATTGCAGAGTGTTGGACTAGATGGCCCTTGGGGTCCCTTCTAACTACCGTTCTATGATTCTGTGATTTATATGCTGCCGTTCAATGCAAATATTTTCAGTTCAGCTCACAACAAAATGAACTAGAAAGATACTTCAAAATGCAAGAAGTTAAAAATGAAGGAATTAAAAGCCTGGGGTGGGGAGGCCTTTACCTGGTGCCAAAATGGCATCAGAGAAGGAGGAAGACAAATCTTTTGGAGAGAACTCCACAATCAGGGCAACACATCTGGAAAGACCACTCTCCAGTTGCCACCACCTCACCTCTGATGGTGAGGGCGGGCAGAGAAATGCCTCCAGTGACTATGAAGATTCCCCAAAGGGTTGAACCCCAACCCACATCAGGTCAGTAAACTCTTGTGCACGATTGGCCTGGACATACCCATACACAAGCCTCTCAGCACTGAAGGGAAGCTGTACAAGCGCACTGCCATTAGTACAGTACAGTGGAACCTCGGGTTATGTACCATCCTCCTTACGAATGCTTTGGGTTACGAGCTCCACTAACACGGAAGTAGATGCTCCCAGTTGCGAACTTTGCCCCGGGATGCGAGCAGAAGTGGCGCGCCGGCGGTGCGGCAGCAGCGGGAGGCACCATTAGTGAAAGTGCGCCTCATGTTAAGAACGGTTTCAGGTTACAAATGGACATTCAGAATGAATTCAGTTCATAACCAGAGGTACCACTGTATGTTAATGGTTTAATTCACAGAGAAATGAAAAATGTATGTGTATTAATGAAGGTTTAAAATGGAAAATGGCTATACAGTGGTACCCTGGGTTACATACGCTTCAGGTTACATACGCTTCAGGTTACAGACTCCGCTAACCCAGAAATAGTGCTTCAGGTTAAGAACTTTGCTTCAGGATGAGAACAGAAATCGTGCTCCGGCAGCGCAGCAGCAGCAGGAGGCCCTATTAGCTAAAGTGGTGCTTCAGGTTAAGAACAATTTCAGGTTAAGAACGGACCTCTGGAACAAATTAAGTACTTATCCTGAGGTACCACTGTATGTGTATTGCTAACATTGTTTTTTCCCCCCACAAGAGTTTTTCTAAAGGATTCTGAGCATGATTAACTAACTGACTGCTGTTCTCTGGTAGCTAAAATGTGAGGATTGTAAACCTGGGATCATGTGAGAAGTATCGGGTTGCGATCTCCATTTTGGAAGGAGTTGTCTTTGTTTCTTTGCCCCCCAAACTTGATGAAGTGAAGATGCAAATGGAGTTAAGTTGTTTCTCTGAATGGCACAGGGAGAGCAATGCAAGTAAATGGCTCAGCTGAAGGGAGAGCAAACAGCCTGGAGGCTGGAAAGTACGCCTGAGGGAAAAAGACCTTTGCTTATAGGTCTGTTCAGATGGTTTCATATTTTGTAAGATGCTGGACAGCACAAGATACAGTAAGGATATTTTTGATGTTTTAATTTTGTTTTGAAGGGACGTTCTGCCAGTAAAAGTTTAAATAATATTTTCTATGGGCTGAAGAATGTTTCATTTCCAAATGAGTCCATTCTTATGCTTCCAGTCGCTTCAAACTCTGCAGTGTTTAAGATCTGCGACACAGTACATTCACAATCAAGCTGGTGCAGGAGAACAGTCCAGATGGACCATGTCCGTTATCAGTTAGGAGACTACCTTTGACACTGCTACTACCATAGCCTTATTCAGACATCATGATAGAACAGGGAAAGGAAACAGGAGTAGGGGGCACCAACACCAGACTTAATCCAGTGCCCTTGCACATGCTGGTCCCTGCATGTTTTATCCCCAACCATCCCATATGTGTTGACTGAATACATTTAGAAGCCTTGACCTGACTGGGAACACTGCTTCCTCGGGGCTCCTGACTATGCAGATTCTTTTAAGCATACATGCTTCCCCACTCCCTACTCATGCTTATGTTCCCTGATCATGTATAAAACCCGAAGAACACTTATAAGAGAACAGGAAGTGTCAAAAGCTCTTAATTCTCAATGAGTTATCAAGTGACCATTATTCTTTTCTTCTTCTTTGCATTCATATATCACATTTCTGCCATGCTCCAGGTTCTGCTTGCATACTTGCCATAGACATCTGGCTGGACACTGAGAATAGGATGCTGGACTAGATCATAGAAGCATAGAATAGAATCATAGAATAGAAGGGTCAAGGCAGGAATCTCACCAGATGGGCCTTTGGTCTGATCCAGTAGGACTCTTCTTATTTCTTATGCTCTGGGTGGCCCCTGTTGATGGCTTTCAAATGGATTTATCTTCTGTATTCCCTCAGGGCAAACAGGTCTTAAGTATCCCCCAAAATGGTGCATCTCAGGCTTACATCATTTGTAATCAGTAGTGCACAGCATGGCAGGTGGGAGGTCACATGACCTTCTGACAGCTGAGTCACTGCTGCTTGCTGGGAAGGGTGAGGTGGTGGGGAGGTTCATGCAGTGCAAGTGCGCTGGCAGAGCAAATTTGATGCTCCTGCCAGTGTGTTTGCGCCGCGCTGACCTTCCACTACCCCCCCACTCTCTCTTCTAATAGGGAGGTCAGGCAAGTGGCATTGCCCCACCATGTCATCTGCTACTGTTTGTGATCTACCAACCCACAAGGGATTGGATAGACCTGGTTTTGCTGCCTGGCTGGCTGGGACTGCAAAAATAGGAGACAGGAGGGTGCTGTGAATAAGTCGGCACATCACAATTTGTGGGTGGTGGGCTGCAATGAGATCAGAGGGTCACAAGTTCTCCATCTCTGAACTGAGTAGCTTTTGAACTAACAACTTATTTTTAAAATATCATCACATTATTTTGGTACCCAGCATAACATTCCTCTGGTATAATTGTTTTCTGGACCCTAAGCTCTCCTTCAATGTACACCACCATGGCTATAACCTGACACTCTGTATTGTGCTCAGACTCTGCAGAAACTGAGCACAATACACATAATGTCATGTCTTGTTACCTGATGAATGCATCACTTTCCAAAACAAAAGCCTTCCCTAAATACAGGTGAAATGACTGAGTATACAACCAAGTTTCCACTTGAAAGAGTAAACAGATTTGGAGTTGGAATTAAATAGGTCTATCAATGTACGGTCTAGACAAAAAACCTACAGCAGATAAAGCCTTATTCTGCTTTTAAATGGAAAATGGGGTGCTTACATTTGTATACTTTATTTGTGCAACCTATTTTCTTTTTTAAAAAGCAAACATTTTCAAACATATGTATTCAAGGTTGCTGAAAATAAAGGGGAAAGATAATTCATATAAATATATAAAACTTTAATTAAGGGCAGCTGTAGAAGGTAAGCATTTCTGCAAAAAATTATTCAATGTTGCCACCTATAGGCCTTAGCCTATACTTACATTTTCATAAATGGTAGCATTTCGAGAAAAGCAGCCTGCAAGAATTCTTGCATAATTCAATTTTTATTTGAAAGGTTCAGGTTTAAAAGAGAAAGGGGGGGGGGGGAATCTATTCATACAACTGTGCATATATATCTTCTTCTTCTCCCAGACTTGTATAAAGAAATTAAACAGCTGATTTGATTATGTCATCAGTTAATTTACAGTATCCCCTTCTATATTAACTGTATATCTGAAGTGCGTTGCTGCAAATCTTTGTGGTTTGTATGCCTCAGATTTCAGTGGGTGAAGAGGTCAAAAAGATGCTAGGCACCCGAGCTTTGTGGAAGGCCTGCTACATCAACAATTCTTCCTCCCTTCTCACTTTATACAGAACGCCAAAAATGTCCGAGACAGCATGAGAAAAGTATCTCCCAGAATAGAGGGGTCCATTGAAGATGCTTTGCCCGAAGAACACCCCCCTCCTGCCACAATCTTGAAGTTGGCACTGTGCATTTACATCTTCTGTTAACTCATTACACTTTGCCGAACAGATGTCAAAACCATGACAGGTTTTCATCAAATTCTCTACCCTGAGGTAGTAGCAAGCCAGTACAACTTCAAATGAATAGAATTAGTTTTACCGAAGCTCGGAGGATTGTGAAGATGGAACTTATAATGAGAAACTAGCCACAGTCCTAATGGTATGGAGACGGAAACACTGTGCCTCTTGGAAATTGCATTGTCTTAAGAGTAATTTCCAGTTTCAGCTAGAATGCTGATTATTGCACAATGTTGGGTTAGCCTTATTAAATAAAAAAAATAAAAAACTCCACCATGATCGATGAAGTGATATAAATAAAGGGGTGAGTGTGCATCAGAGGTAAACACAAGCAACGATTATTCAAGTGGGAGATGTGTCCCACTTTGAGAGGCTTAGAGGTGGTTTTCAAGTGGGGACGGGATGAGTTAGATTATTTCTGGGTCCATGTCAATTTTATGTGTGTTCATTCATAAACATGTTCCCCTTTCCCCACATTAATAGGTGGCTCTTGTTTGTTTGTTTTTGGCAAAAAGCAAACCATACAAAAATCCATATTTAATTAATATTCTAAAACAAAATACATTTATTCCAATTTCTAAATGTATTTTGTACTAAAATGTAAGTTTTAATGCATCTTGGTACATTGTTTTGAGCTGAAAATTACAGGCGGCAACCATTTTATGTGCGTCCAATTGGCGCATGATTATAGACACATGGGCCCTTTTGGACCTGGAAGATGATGGGTTGGGCACACTTATGCATGCTCCACTGATTCACATGGGGGGCTGGGAACGGAACCCCTACAACAAATAATCACTGCCTGTATATTGCAAAATTAGGAGTGGAAAATCCACAGGATGGTTGTGTTCTTATTCCTTTATTAATCTGGGAGCTGCAGAGTATGGCAGTTTAACTAGAATTGTGGACTAAATGAATCCCACCCCACCTACTTACAAGTCACCATTCCCACATCACTGTCATTTCAAAACTCCATTGGATTCCATGACATTTCCAGAAGTGACTTTGTGTCATGTGAAAGATTATATAAAACATGGAAATTACCAGAGAAGGAAACATTGGAAGAAAGTGCTGTTTGAATGCAGCCCTAGTTCGACCTTCAGGAAAAGGAGGCATGAAGCACTCACTGTCTTGACTTTGGGCAGGGGTAACCAATGTAGTGCCATCCAGATGTTGGTGGACTAATAGTCTCCATCATCTCTGACCATTACACAGGCTGGCTGATGCAGCAAAACAACTTCTGCAGGGCACCACATTGGCGACCCCTGCCATAAGAAGACTTGCTGCTTCATAATTTGAGAATTTGTGCTTCCTGAAACAATATGCAAACCGAAACACAGCTGTCCTTCACTGTTTGCAGCTCCCTGAATGTTGTGGTGTAGTTTTTCAGTCAAAAGATGGGTACAAAGATGTGTAGATTGAAGGAAAGTTGGGAGCAAGAGTCAGGGTAGGTTAGCAATAAAACACCTGGTGCCAGCGAAGCTAACTCTTTATTCAAAGAAACCAAAACAGTGCAGGCCTAGTGATCACGGCAACACTTCCCAGTAGGTCTTGCCCCAATGAGGCAGTTGCAAGGGCAGAAGGTCCCTGCCTTCCTACTGCTCTCTAAGGCTCCTCCTCCCGCTCCTTCCCCCCAGCTCCATTGTCTTATCTCTCTTAGCTCCACCCTCTTTATTCCTCTTTGTGTTCTGGGAAACTAGGGGGAAGGGAAGCTGGCCGCAGCAGGAGTGGGAGACCCCCTGTCTTTAGCAGCCTGCCACATCTCTGCCTCTTGGCCCCCCTCCTCTCCAGCCTCCACTTCTGCCTCTGATTCTGCACTGCCCTCTGTCACAGCCTCTTCCTGCTAACTAAACCCTGTCACCTTTTCAGCCTCCAACATCTCCTCCTCCCAGTCTGCTCCCTCTTCTCCCTCTGACCCCTCATCGTCATCCCACCACCAATAACCTGACTCTGAACATTCATCCCTTAGGGGGTCCCATTGGGGTTTCCCAGCTGCTGCCTCCCACCATTCCTCTGCATCCAGCCAGTCCATGACAACACATTAATAAAGACAGCATAAACACACACATACGTTATATCAGGGGGAACTGCTTGCAAATGTGTAGATTAGACAAAACTCCATACAAAAATATTATATTACATGTTTAGTAAAATGCTGATTATTTTTGTGATTATGTAAATATGTCACTGACAGAGATGGAACTGCAGTGAACTGAACTCCCCGAACAAGAGAAGGGACACAACATTTTAAGTAGGGCCTATCCTTTGCTGCTACGTGAGTTAGGGTTTAGGTTGTTAGGTGGAGTGTGAAGTGATTTCACCTACCACATGCTAAAATAAGCTTTCTGAGATGTAGTACCAGACTAACATTGCCTTCCAGCAAAAGGGGAAAAGAAATCATGTGTCAACAGCACCAGTAGCAAACTTTCCTCATGGACCCTGGCCTTACACTTTGCTTGAGGCATAAACAGTTGTGCAGCATTGCACTAAAGAACTTGCGTGTCGCATTCACATTTCGGTGATGGGTGAAAGTGGTACTCATTTAAATTCTCGTCCTATGAGAATTTTGTTTTTAGTTAACTGACTCCAACAGCTTCAACCACAATTGAAGGAGACACCTGGTTTCCACGGCTGCAGCACATAGGAATTCACCCTCACCAAGTATCAGCAAATTAAAAAACTTGGGAATAATAAAGACCAATAGGCTGAACTGCACAGTACAGATAATTAGAAATGTTAGAATGGCAGTGTTCTCCTTTCTAAAACTATCCTCTGAGGTTTGGCCTTGATCAGCCATTTGCTTATTTGGGGCCGGTGACTGAACTATGGAAACCTTTCTAGGCTTCATTTTGGAAATAATGTCAGCTGTATGCAAAACAGAAGATTGTACAAACTGAATGACTGTAAGAAAAACCTCAGAGATGGTGCACAGGAAGTTGAAGAAAAGCCAGAAATTATTTAAGAAAATCTACAGTTCATTACCAAAGTTGCTGAAATGGTCTTGATCATTGCTCCCCTAGTCCATAGGGTAAATATATATTTTCCAAACTGTATGTTACAAGTCTAGACTTAAAAATTGTGCACCAATGTATCACCATCTTAAGCAACACTCTATTTGTCACTAATTGCACCCCCATTAAGCACCTGCCAATATCGCCCTGATTAACTAGCAGTCACTACCATTTGTTGCCATCCGTTTCCTTCGTGATAACCCCATAATGCTGCCGTCCCAGTTCCACGTTGTCCAATTAAGTGCAGCCTGCCAATATATAACATTTTGATGGACTGTCTTCCGAGCTATAATCCTAGCAGATTATGTAGAGCTCAGAGAGGTAACCATGCTGATGAGCACATCACTTATGCCACCTGGATGAACTGCATCATGTTCTGGAAGCAAGGTTTAGAACAGGAACAGTCAGACCAAAAGGTGTGTTATTTCCATTTTGATCAGCATACTGCTGTTTCTTCCCCTTTATTACGTATACTGCTTTTGAACAAACTGATGAGCTAGATTTCTGGGCTTTCTTGGTTTCTGGACACACTCAAGGACTAGTCGTTCTCCCATGTTTCTCAAATGGGTTGGGCTGTGCTACCGGTTGTTAAAGTGCCAGCGAGAGCAGTGGAGAGACATGTTGGAGTTGTCAAGCAGGAGATCTGGAATCCCTGTTTTCAGGGAGATCACTGCACGGCAGTGGAAATTCCACAGGTGACATGTCTAGGTGACATATCAGTGGATAGTGGCAGCAGAAAGAACAAGAAATACAGTGGGACATCCTTTCTTACAAGCCTACCCCATATAGTTGGCACTGGAGTAAGCGGTTTCCTTCCATCACAGACCGCACATGTAGAATCATAGATTCGTAGAATTGTAAAGTTAAAGGGACACCAAGGGTCATCTAGTCCAAACCCCTGCAAAGCATGAGAGATGGCCACCCAACCTCTGCTTCAAAACCTTCAAGCAAGGAGAGCCCACCATTTACTCAGGGAGACAGTTCCATTGTTAAGCAGGTCTTACTCTCAGAAAGTTCTTCCTGATGTTTAGTCGGAATCCTTTCTTGTAACCATTGGATTGAGTCCTACCCTTCAGAGCAGGGGAGAACAAGCTTGCTCCATCTTCCATGTGACAGCCCTTGAGATATTTGAAGATGGCTGTCATATCTCCTCTCAGTCTCCTCTTTAAGGAGCTGGGTCTGTTTAGCCTGGAAACTGCTCCTCATAAGGCTTGGTTTCCAGACCCTTGATCATCTTAGTTGCCCTCTTCTGCACACATTCCAGCTTGTCGATATCCTTCTTAAATTTTGTTACACCGAATTCTGCTTAAAAGCTCCAAGGAGAACTAAAATTTTCAGAAGTTAGACTGCAGCAATATCTCTCCCCAGCTCCAATAGCACAACCCTTTGTGTGTTTACTCAGAAGTAAATCCAACTGAATTCTAGGTAAATGTGCATAGGATTGCTCCCGAATAACCTTCAGGATAGCCAGATATTCATCTCTATTTTTCTACATAATGAAAAGCATTGATCCTATTTTTACATCCAGATTAGCTTGGTCTGCTAAATTGTAATGATTCTTACCTACTTTCTGCCCAGATTAAGTTCTTTGAAATTGCATTCCTCTGATTTACATCAAAAGGCTGAATTTGGCTCAGTGAATTTAGCTGCTCCCAGCCTCTTAGAACATTAACAACAAACAACTTGGTTCTGGACCATTAGACAACAGACTGCTTGTTAGTGGCGGGTAGCAATCAGTTTTCATCGGCTTGTTAATTTATTGCATTTCACGTGATGGATGCAGCAAATTTGTGATTAGTTTTGTTTTCTCTGCATTTTTTAATGCTGAAGAATAGGATACAAGGGATGTTTAGATGATCGGTGGATATGGGATCACAATTCTTGGCTCTTCCCACCCTTTTGTTAACTGCAGAATGGTAGAAAATATATGTTCCCATTATTTTAGAAGTAGGAGATAAACAAAGGAGATTTCAACAAACAAACAAAAAAAACCACTGCCTCAATGAATAGGTGAAAAATACAGAAGTACTGGGGTACTTCACTGCTTCTACATAAAGGCAGGGAGTTAGAGCAACTTGTGCATGTCTGCTCAGAAATATGGGATGCATGACACTTACTCCTAAATCAGTAAGCATAGTATAGCAGCTTTAGTTCT